ATTTAAGGTCATTTTTTGTATCTTTAGTTATCTTACATGTGTTTATACCTGATTCTATTGCTGTGCTTTCCTATTACAACACTGAAATTTCCTCATTGTGGCACAAATACTGGTTATTTTATCGCTCAAAACATGTTGCACGGCAGTTAAATAGCTCAAAACTTTTCACAAATCTTAGAAACCGCGACCGAGTTTTAAGACGAGGGTAAAGCTGACAACAACTAGCATGCTAACACGCACTTCCACCACACAGCAGACCTCAAAATCTGCTTATACAATATTTCTGCACTGGGGCAAGTCAGATTTTTCCCTCAAATACATGGGAAAAGAATGGGGTAGAGGGACTTTAATTCAAATTACATACATGAACAAGTCCCCCTCCTCCTTCACCGTACTCAACTAGTCTTTCTTTCTCTTTCTTTCTCTCTCTCTCTCTCTTTCTCTGTTGTTTTCCGAGTCATGTACAACCCTGGTGTCATATGACTGCTTCCCCCTCCTCCCTCCTCCCATTTCCCAAGCCCCCCTCCCTCTGTGCACTAGTGATATTAAGCACAATGAGTCTTTAAGCGCCGGATCAGAAGTAGGGGGGAGAGAGAGAGAGGGAGAGAGGGAGAGAAAGAGGGAGGAGGGAGGAGGAGGAGAGAGGGTAATCTGCTCACTGAGGTGTTAAATAGGCACAACAATGCAGGCTGGGGCCGGGACAGAGGCTGTGTAGAAGTGTGACCGTGCTAAAAAGACCTATTTGAAGGAGGAGGGAGCCAAGCTAACAGCTCAGAGGAGATGGACGGGGGGGGCAGAGCTGAAGGAGTGACAGCGACGGCTTAAACGGTCCCCGCGGGCTTCCACAAACCTGCATGGAAACCGGGGCCAGAGCTGACTAAATAGATTCCCGGGTCGACTAAAGACGTGTCCCGCCGCCGGGTCGGTCGACTGAACGGGCAGCGTGGAAAAAGCTCTCAAAATGATTATGTATTTCTGTTTATCTGGCCCAAACTGCGCTCACAAGACCACACCTGCAGGGGGAGTCCATACAAAAACTACTATTTATGCAGGAAAAAGTACTTATGTTCTCCTGTTTAACTACATTTTTATTTATTAGGTACCTTACAACAACATAAACAAGTTAAATACTATTAAAACAGTTAAAGTGAGACAGCATTTTAATTCACTGATTGTATTTAACTCTTTTCTCTTCTGTTTTAATGTTGATTTTATACTGATTATTTGTTTGTATTGTGATTTTAATGGCTTTCTTCTTCTGTAAAGCACTTTGTATAGCACAACTTGTACACAAAGTAATTCAAATACATTTATCTTGCCTACAAGGGAGCAGTATATTTAAATAAACTAATTAAACTTGTAAATCATGATTCTAACCTGCCTCTGAAAAAAAAAAAAAAAATCAGTGTACTAACTCACTAAATAACTTCTCCTTTCTGTTGTTGTCCCATACAAAACAGATTTGTCCACTTATTTAGTCTGTAAGGCCTGTTTAGGAGTCTGCATAAGACAAAAACAAAACTCTCAATGTGGGATGGAAGATAATACACATGGTTCACACTGGGGTGATTTCGGGGGAAAAAAATTGATTTTTCTGCCAAATTTTGAGATTTTTGCAATATTTTGTACAAGCTGTGCTATACAAATACACTTGCCTTGCCTACAAGGGAGCAATGTATTTAAATAAAGACTAATTAAACTTGTAAATCATGATTTTAACCTGCCTTTTTCAAATACGAGCGTACTAACTCACTAAATAACTTCTCCTTTCTGTTGTTGTTTCATATAAATCCTTGTTTTCTTCATATAATTTAAATAAAACAACATTTGTGCACTTATTTAGTCGACTAAAGGCCTGTTTAGGAACAAGCATAAGACAAAAACAAGACTCTTAATGTGAGATGGAAGATAATACACATGGTTTACATTGGGGTGATATCGGGGAAAAAAAAATCAAAATGTGATTTTCCTGTCAAATTTTGAGATTGTGGTCAAATTTGCAATATTTTGTGTACTAGTTGTACTATACAAATACACTTGCCTTGCCTATGAGGAAGCAATACATTTAAATAAAGATTAATTAAACTTGTAAATCATGATTTTAACCTGCCTCTTCCAAATACCTGTGCACTAACTCACTAAATAACTTTTTCTTTCTGTTGTTGTCACATATAAATCCTTGTATTCTAAATCTAAAAACACATTAGTCCACTTATTTAGTCGACTAAAGGCCTGTTTAGGAGCACACACAAGACAAAAACAAGGCTCTCAATGTGGAATAGAAGATAATACACATGGTTTGTATTGTTGCGATTTCGGGAAAAAATAAATCAAAATGTGATTTTCCTGCCAAATTTTGAGATTGTGATCAAATTTGCTAAATTTTACAATATACAAATACACTTGCCTTGCCTATGAGGAAGCATTGTATTTAAATAAAGACTAATTAAACTTGTAAATCACGATTTTAACCTGCCTCTTCCAAATACAAGCGTACCAACTTACTAAATAACTTCTCCTTTCTGTTGTTGTCTAATATAAATCCTTATAATCTAAATATAATTTTTAAAAATTGCATTAATCCACTTACATAGTCGACTAAAGGCCTGTTTAGGAATACATGTAAAACAAAAACAAGGCTCTTTATGTTGGATGGAAGATAATACACATGGTTTACATTGGGGTGATTTGGGGAAAAAAATTATCGAAATGTGATTTTTCTGCAAAATTTTGAGATTGTAATCAGATTTGCAATACTTTGTGTACTAGTTGTACTATACAAATACACTTGTCTTGCCTACGAGGAAGCAATGTATTTAAATAAAGACTAATTAAACTTGTAAATAATGATTTTGAACCTGCCTCTTCCAACTGTGAGCATGCCAACTCACTAAATAACTTCTCCTTTTGTTGTTGTCTCATATAAATCCTTATAATCTAAATATAATAATTTAAAAAAAATGGCATTAATCCACTTATTTAGTCGACTAAAGGCCTGTTTAGGAATACGTGTAAAACAAAAAAAAAAGGCTCTTCATGTGAGATGGAAGATAACACACATGGTTTACATTGGGGTGATTTGGGGGAAATAAAAAATCAAAATGTGATTTTTCTGCCAAATTTTGAGATTGTGATCACATTTGCAATATTTTGTGTACTAGTTGTACTATACAAATACATTTGCCTTGCCTATGAGGAAGCATCGTATTTAAATAAAGACTAATTGAACTTGTAAATCGTGATTTTAACCTGCCTCTTCCAAATACGAGTGTACTAACTCACTAAATAACTTCTCCTTTCTGTGGTTGTCCCATATACCTCCTTGTATTCTAAATTTTTTTTTTTTTAACTGCATTTGTCCACTTATTAAGTTGACTAAAGGCCTGTTTAAGAGCACGCATAAGACAAAAAAAAAAAGGCTGTCAATGTGGGATGGAAGATAATACACATGGTTTACATTAAGGTGATTTCAGGAAAAAATAAAATGAAATGTGTTTTTTCTGCCAAATTTTGAGATTTTTGCAATATTTTGTGTACTAGTTGTACTATACAAATACACGTACCTTGCCTACGAGGAAGCATTGTATTTAAATAAAGACTAATTAAACTTGTAAATCATGATTTTGAACCTGCCTCTTCCAAATACGAGCGTACCAACTCACTAACTTCTCCTTTTTTTGTTGTCGTCTCATATAGATCCTTATAATCTAAATATAATTGCATTAATCCACTTATTTAGTCGATTAAAGGCCTGTTTAGGAGTACGTGTAAGACAAAAACAAGGCTCTCAAAGGGGATGGATCTGCAATATTGTGTACGAGTTGTAAGACTAAAATTGTAAATCATGAGTTTAATCTGCCGTTTTTAAATACCAGCATACTAAATTACTAAATAACTTCTTTCTGCTGAGAAAAAAAAACAAAACTTTTGTCCTCTTATTTAGTCGACTAAAAGCCTGTTCAGGAGAGCACACAAGACAAAAATGAGGCTCTCAATGTGGGATGGAAGATAATACACATGGTTTACATTGGGGTGATTTGGGGGAAAAATAAATGGAAATGTCCTTTTTCTGCCAAATTTTGAGCTTGTGATCAAATCTGCAGTATTGAGACTGATTAAATTTGTAAATCATGAGTTTAATCTGCAAAAACCCGCGCACAAACTCACTAAATAACTTCTCCTTTCCGTTGTTGTCCCAAATAAATCCTTATAATCTAAATATAATAAAAATATACACATGGTTTACATTGGGGTGATTTGGTGGAAACATAAATCGAAATGTGATTTTTCTGCCAAATTTGGAGATTGTGATCAGATTTGTAATATTTGTTTAAAATGTAGGATTCTGATCAAAGTGCAGCTTGTAAACAGCTCCAGGAGGAATAATAAATACAAGAATCCAATGCATTTAGAGCAGAGCATTTTGTAAAGATCTAACCTACAGATACAGCATCATTTTTTAATAAAATACAGGATTTGTTTGTTTTGAATGGTCACAAATTTGCTGTTTTCACCTACCCCCTATCTCCACCCACAGCTTTCAGTAATAACTAGAACTGCCCTGAATGTTTACTGCTGCTCGTAACTTCAAAAAGTACCAAAAATCACTCACTCATGAATCCAAATAAACGCAGAGTTGTTGAAGTGTCTTGCCCAAGGACACAACAATAGGATATACTGGTGAAAGCAGGACTTGAACTACAAACTTTCCAAAAAAAAAAAACCCAAGAAAAACACTACCTCTACCGTCACCCAACGAAGATTTACTTAACAAACCATCACCAAAAACAATATTATGTTTAAAAATTTCAGAGTAACTTGAGAAAAAAAAAAATTACAGATAAGAGGAATAAAATATTGAGCTGTAGTTATCTCTGTATGATAAAATAAAACCTGAAAATCATCGTTCCCATTTGGCGCGACCGTTCTGTGATAAGGCACATATGTATGATTCACAGACGATTACATAACAGTGAATAATTTGCAAGGACGATACTCACTGTGCCGGGCTCTCGGTCTGCGAAATGATGAAAAATCCAGGTTTGAAGACGCACAGAAAGGAAAGGGAGAGAAAAGAAAGAAAGAAATTAAGTATTCAAGTATTCATGTTATTATAAAATATCACGTAAAGATAATCTGAGTTGAGTTTCAGCATTCTTTTCTAACACTACGAGGGATGTAACGATATCCAAATCTCTCGGTACGATATTATCACGATACGCATCTTAAGAGCACGTATAATAGCCCAGAAAATACTCTATATAATTGTAAATAGGACACTTTTTGCGTTTAAAATACCCTGACAAGATTTTGGTGTGAATTATTTCCATCATAATCCCAAGAATTCACGTAAAAAACATATTTCTTCATGTTGTTCGCACTGAAATGCATCATGGGATATGTAGTTTCCGATGCCCACGATATTATTGTGAGACTTCTGATGATATCACGATATTTTGGTTATTGTTACATCCCTAAATACTACAAATTCAAACTCTGCCAACACTAATACATAATGTAACACTGTTAAATGATAGAATATTTAAGGTACACTAAACACTTATCAGTATTTTGTATGTGCTTCATGACATTTCCTTTACTGAGCACAGTTTGTACCTCTTAAGTGCTCCGGTCCTCCAGGATGTGAGTCGGGTCCGCCCAGGTGAGGGGGCTTCTTATCCCCGCTGTCTTTGCCTGTGAGGTGGGGAGGCACCCCTCCGAGGGCCCCGGACAGAGCAAGGAGCCCCGCGGAGCCGCTGAGCTGAGAGGGGTGCAGGCCGGCGGGGTGAGGCGTCAGGGGGACAGGTGCTCCCCCGTGAGTATGAGACAGGTGCTGCTGCTCAGAGAAACACACAGAGAGAGAGAGACAGCAGGAGAGAGGAGATCAGACATTAAATCATACATTCACAGACATTGAACATTGTGCTTTTATGAGGTTGGGTTAAATTGTTTTATGGAAGTCCAACTTCTTTCCTGATAACACGATAACACATTTGGAAGCACAATATATTGCTACAGAGATATGCAGCGATAAACGATTATTGTGAAATATTGTATGTAAAATGTACCCTGGGCTATGAGAGTCTAGATTAAGTTTTCAATCAGAAAAACTTAGAAAGGCTTTAGAAGCAGCAGGATCCAGAGGTTTGTATTGAAGAAAGTTTAAAGATGATCGCGTTGTCTTGTATGTGTATGAGTGTGTGGTTATCCATAATAAACTAAAATTTATTTACATAAAAAAATAACGAACTTCCCCAGTAGTGCAAAGAAACCGATAAAACTGAAACCATAAATATACCATCAAAATATGCTGTTCCAGCTTTCATCGATATAGTTGTAATTATCGCGCCCATTCTTGAACAGCTTATGCACAATACTTTTTTTTGCCCTTATGCTGCTGTTCCTGCTCCTCTTAGTATTATTGGATATGTTAAACATTATTGTTAATATTTAATCTTTTTATCTTCTTTTAAAGCATCATTTGACCTTGAGGAACTTATTTTGTTCTGTTCATGTTTGAGTGACAAATTAATAACCTGAACCTTAAAATGTTGTAAAGCCATAAAATTAATAGAGCCAATTTACGGACCAGACAATATTTCAACATTTGAGATTTTCTGTTTAGATTTACAAGCCCAGGACTGCGTCATTGTCCCATTAACAGAATATACGATCCTGACTGTGCTGAATGCTCTTTGTGTCAGAGGACATAATCTATTTCTGCGGGTGTTTTATTGACAGACATTGTAAAAAATCAGATGCTGTCGTGTTTAAGTTTGACTGACAGTGCTACGTGTTTTAGTTGTTTTCAGTGCGTCGGGCGTGTGCATATTAAAGGAGTGAGTAATCATTTAATTCACTGACAAAATTTCAAAACTTTTCCATGACTTTTTCATGTCCTAAAGTGAATTTTCCATGACTTTACAGCACCTACATGTGTAGAACTGATCAGACTTTTTGGACTAAATATGAAATGTTAACTCTTTCCACTCACCTTATGGTTTGGTATTATAGTTTTTAACATTCAAAATACTGTCAGTGCATTTATTGTCGTCTCTTTTAAACAAAAGACGCAGACATTTGGAAATAATCATAACAGCCTAATGAGAACTTAACAGAACAATGCAGTTGCGTGAAAAGGACTTCCAGGATTTCCATGACCGTGGGAAACCTGAGTAATAGTTAAAAAAAATAAAATAATAAAAAGCACATATATACGTCAACATGCTTGCAGAGTGTTTTGAAGTTGTTTGCAATAGTAGATTATAGAAAATGTGTGTTTAAAGACCAATTAGATGTTTATTTGTGATATCAGGAAATACTAATGGCCCGCTATTATTACGAAGCTTTTACCTCTTGTTTCCGACATGTTTGTTTAGAGTATATTATCATTTATATTTTTATAATTTGTATGTTTCAGACCCACACACACACACACAGACACACACACACTCACACAAAGTTCAAAGTTTTTAATAAAAGTCATAAAACGTCATAATTTTCTCATCGTGCATTCTTACCGACGCCCCCTGGTGGTCACAACAGTTATAAGCCACACAACTCACTTTCTTCAAAACACTCTTACAGTATGTTTTGTAATATTTTTGTTAACCAATAAACATGCAATAAAACTAGAAAGATTTATCTAAAAAATGGTAACTTACACATCCGTCTAGAAGGTGAATTAAAAATCTAGAAGGTGAATTATTAACGGATCAAAACATATTAAACAATAAGAGACTTAAGCACAATGGAGCAGTAGTAGAGCGTGGGGCTTCCTGTCCGTCATGAATAGGTAAATCAATAAGAGGCTGTAATTTCAGAAGAAGTGAAGCTCTGTTCAAGTCGTCCTCAACAGATGGCTCGTTTTTCTGAGCGTTCAACTTTACAACAACTGCCCCTGAACGCACCATCCTGTGTGCCTCCTCTGCAGCCCCTGGGGTCAAACACTGCTAAACAATACTGACAGCTGGGATCACACAGACAAGGATGTGCTGAGGAGGGGAGACAGCGAGGAGGAGGAGGAGGAGGGGGGAAGAGAGGGACAGCGAGAGGGAGGAGGGTCACAGACAGGGTTGCCAGGTTTTAACAAAACAAGTGATCAAGCATTTGGAAAAAAAAGCCCAAAACAAGTGATCAAAGCACCACAAGAGTAAAGCCTAATAATAAGCAACTGGTTAAATGTCGTGTGTTGCTAATGAGGCATGTATATTTAATAGCACATTTAACTTTTTACATTTTTATTTAAATACACAGCAGAACCCATAAATACTATAAAGATAAAAAATACTATAAAGATATAAAACACTCCTTCCCGCCCACACTGTTGGTTTATCAGGGAGCGGACGCTTTACCATCAGTCACCCCTGTTGTCTGTTATTAATGTGCATATCTAGAAAATATTAAGTGGTTAAATAAAAACACCAGGATACGAGTAATTTAAACCAAAAATGACGAGCCTGAAAGCAGCAGTTGCGGAGAGCAGGGAGACAGTTTTTCAAAAGGAAATGAATTGGAGACGGAAATGCTCCCATGCTCATTTCCTGTTTGGAACACGGTGGCTATCAGGTTTGCTCTGTCCATTTACAACAGATCTGGGCATTGTGCAGCTCCCACGCGACATACAGTTCTTTGATTTACTCTGATGGTCTTGTTTAAGATGATTTGGAATTAAAATGGTAAATGGTCACAATTTTATATAACGCTTTTCCACCTTCAAGGCACTCAAAACGCTTTACAACAAAAAAAAAACACTCGCCTATTCACGCACACATTCACACACCAGTGTATACAGACACTGGGAGCAAAGTGGGGTTAAGTGTCTTGCCCAAGGACACAACGACAGCATTCATCTGTGGGAGCTGGAATCTCACCGCCAACCTGTGGGTCAGTGGATCTGATTGCTCAACCAATCATGTTTATGTTGAGAGCGGGATTCAAACCGCCAACAGATCAGTGGACGAAAGCTCCACCAACTGAGCTACTGAGGTAAAATTATAAACAGTGTATCCCCAGGTTTGACTACCCCAGATTTAAGACCTTTTAAAGACCTTTTTAAGACCACTTAAATGAAAATTAAGACCAACATCGCACCCATTATGCGGGCGAAAAACACCAGATCCAATTCTAATAATGACCAACCAACTACGGTACTATATCTAGAATCTAAGAGCCGCAGAAACCAAAGTATTGTTTGCACAAAACCCAAATTAGACGTTCATTCACGTTACGCGATTTCACGTTGTTGTTTTTTCCTACCTCCGTTTAACATTGCACTACAGCCCGGTTGAGTAAACAAAAAATAGGCTAATAAAATTTAAGAGTTTTGTGAAAAAAATAAGACTTGAACATAATTTTTAAGGCCTTAATTTAGGAACATGAAATTTAAGACCTTTTTAAGACTTAAAACCCTGTGGCTACCCTGATAAAATATAAAAATACTTTATAATTTTACCCTCATGCAGGACTAAAGCTGCATTGCTTTTATTTTAGAGGTGTTTTTGATGACATTTTTTGTAAGGCAACCTCACTTTTTCATTGCTTAGTCATAACAAACTCTTACAAGTCTGACCAGCGCATCAAAACAATGATATTTACGGCTTCAGCATCTTGGCCCTCCACAATATTTTCTGTTTCTCATGTGGCCCCATGGAAAAAAATAATGTGCAGCCCCTGATTTACAATCTCTGATCTCCACAAACCAGACCTATAACTTGGAATGATGGTGTCGCCTTCTTGTTTACACTTTTAGAGGCATATGTAACGCCATAGTGTTATAACAACATCTCCACGGAGACACGCAGGTGGTGGAGTTACACTGTGCACCTTTAACAGCTTGTATTTCAGTCATTCCCGGGTTCAGGCAGCCCAAAGTCGCTATTAAGAAGCAGACTTGGCAACTCTGGCCCCAGCTGCTGTTCCACTGTCAGCTCAATGAGGAAGAGAGAGAAGAGGAGAGCGAGGGAGCGAGGGAGGGAGGGAGGGAGTGAGGGGGAGAGCGAGCAGGTCAGAGGAAGGCGGGGGATTGGCTGGCAGCCCTGCTCTCTCTTTCACACCAAATCAGGCGCTCGTCGGACCGTGAAATGTCTTTGTGTTCCAAAACATCATTATTGCCTCCTCAGACAGTAGCCCCGGGAATGGAAGCTCCGTGATTCGCTGCGGGGAGGGGCGAGGCGGAGGAGAGAGGGAGGAGAGGGGGAGAGAGGAGAGAAAAAGAGAGAGAGGAAAGAGGGGGGCAGGAGGCAGCACCACAGGGGGGGAGGAGTGCTGAAGGTCAAACCCACTTTTATCTCACCTAATTGACTAACTCACCCCCCTCCCTCTCGGCTCCTCTCAACCATCTCTCATTCTCTGCGTCCTGCCCACATGAATGAAAGCAAAACAACTAAATAGTCTTTTAACCCAGGGCCCTCACACTCTCGTACACACACACACACAAACGCAGAAACGCACACTCTAACACACCCACAGAGACATGTTGGGTTTCCATGCTACTTGGGGACACTATATTGCCTAAACATTCATTTCCCGGAGACTGATGCTAATCTTAAAAAGGTGCTGTATCTGATTTTCACGCTCTTGAAAACACCAAAAAAACTAAAATAGTTCATTTTAAACATTTCGCATCGGTCCAGAGCTGTTCCTCGTTTACCTTATGCATTCCGAGTAAACTAATTATTCACCGCGATGAGTTTACGTATAAGAGCTTTTCACAACTTTCGGAAAACAGTATGGAGTTTTATCGTCACGGTATGTGAACAACAACTAGCAAACTAACAAATTACACTCGCGTTTTGATTATAGAACAATAAAAATGCATCAAAAATTATATGCCGA